CCTTCTGGCAAATCAAATAAACACATGTAATCAAATTCCAAATTGTGACGAATTTCTAGAACTTTTTGCTAGCTATCCTCGGCCTTCTGCAAAGTTACTAACCTTTCTGAAACAAGCCTTAAGACGTGACACGAAAGAAATTTGTATTGAACCTGAAGTTGGCAGGTGTTACGATATATTTAAAGATAGCATTGTTGGATCTTCTGTGTTCCAGTTAGGTGAGAACGTAATGTCCCCCACAGGTTTTAAAATTCCTCATAATATTCAAATTGATGATGTAAATGAGACTTTTGTCTGGAATGAGCAGTTTAAAAACAAGCAAGAGTATGTTCGCAAAAGACTATCCGACCTTGGCCTTTCTATAGATGTGCCATTAAATTTTGAGATACGCCAAGGTTATTCGGTTGATTCATCAGCTAACAATTCAAGTCATACAATAGAGCAAACATTTTTAATTGAACACCATTGTTTTAAGTTTACATTGAATGTTGATGAGCTACAATTATCTCAAACTTTTATTGATGATATTGATACTCTTCCTTCTAAATATGACAAATCTAATAATGCAAAATGGAAAAATTTTTTTGATAAGTACGGAATTTATGTGGTTCAGTCTGCTTGGGTTGGTGGTCGTTGCTCAGTAACTGTTAAAATTGCATCATTTAGTATAAACATTCAAAGCATTGGTCTTATTATGTCCGAAGTTCTGGCTTTCATTTTCAATCATAAGACTCAATTAGATTTTGACAATGAAATTAAAGAACTTAATACTGTTGAAGAGGCATTGAATACCGCCAGGTTAATGATGCACGGTGGAGATCCCAAATATCATGTTACGACATTCCATAATTGTAAATTTAACAGTAAAAAATGGTTGAATTCCATTAAAGTGAAGCCAGCTGTTTTAGATACAAAATTAGAACTTATTCCAATAAATATTGTCGCAGGAAATTATAAAAGTAATATTATAGATCCAATGGCTACAGCCATAGAGGATCTTTTTGGTATTAAGCCGACATATATTAATCCGGAAATAAAGGCACTATCTTTTCCAAAAAATCGTGAAGAGGCAACAAATTCTTTGGTAAAAGATCCGGGTACATGTCTTAGGTCAGGCACTTTGATATCAATGGCCGATGGTACCAAGGTTGCTGTCGAAAAACTTAATCCGGGAGATTTAGTTGTGGGCAAAAATGGAATGCCATGTCATGTTCTTGGAAGAAATGAAGTATTGTTGGGAAATAGATTCCTCTATGGTTTTTCTTCTGGACGAACTGCCTTTTTTACTTCGGAACATCTTTTTGCTACACAAAATGATGAATGGATGTGCATTGATCCCGATCTTTCTCGCTTGATAAATCCTCAGAATTGTATAAAAAAAATTCATAGAATGCAAGATCAATACG